ATACCCGTGCGCACCAGTGCCGATACATTTCTGCCGAAAGAGTACAGCACTGGTAAAAATCAGTGCTGCATGGGTGTCGCACTGATAATTTATTTAATCAATTTAATTATTTTTTTATTATGGTTGTTTATGCTGAATTTTGTATTAGAATGCGGCACTGATCAGTACTACATCGACATGACAAAACCATGCGGCACTGCCTCGACACTTCTCTTATGAGAAGGAAAAGCTGAAGTCAGAAAGACATTCAAAATATTAGAAGTAGACTGCGGTGTTAATATAGACAGAAATTGACAAAATGACACCCCCTCGTTTTTGACCCTCTTGGAAACCGGGGACGCCGATGTCGGATCGGGATGAAATTTATAACAGAGATAGAACATCGAAAAAGAAAATCGATGTATTTTTGCACAGAATTTTGTGACATGTTCTTCTATGGGTTTTCTAGAAAACTCTGGCTTTCATTCAGTCACATTACGAAAAAATGATCCGATCGAGCTCAACATTTTACCACAGATACTTCAGATCCTATCTCAGGTTCGTTTTTTTTCTTTTCAAAAAATATGCTTTCCTTCTCGAGATATCCCAAAAATGCTGAACGTCACGCAAAAAAACTCAGTTTTTTACAGGTTTTGTCTGCATCGTGACGCGTCTTTTACATGGAAATATTTTCTTACTGATAAAAATAAGGTTGCGTTTGAGGCACCTAAAATGCATTTTTTTTAAAACAGAAGAAAATACATCTCGTTTTTCAGTGTTGAGAAGTCGTCGGCTGAAAAAAGAAACGAAAACCCTTTTCTGTCGAAAAAGAATAAGCGCTCGGAGTTTCAGCTTAATCAGCTGTGCTATGCAAAGAGTAGAGGGTCGAGTGACTGAATTGGCCATCAGAGAATATTATAGACTACCATCGATTAATTAACTTATTAGGACTGTCATTTTTTATTTTTCGAAAGAGGAATATAATTTTTTTTATTATAAAACAAAAATAAAATACTTCTTTTCCCACAATAATGCGAGGAAACACTATAGAAAAAATTGAAACGTGCACTTACGCAAACATATCACCGGAAAAAAAATAAAGTTCGTTGTGAGTTGCTGAAAAGTGCTTTTTCGGATTCAGCACACTCGATAACCCAGGAGATCTTCTATTTTTGACAAAGGGTACCTCCGAAAGTTTAGGAAAGTTTTTGAAACCAATATTATTTTCCCATGGAAATTTTTTTGCGCCATTTTGTTCGAAAACTTTTCCTAAACTTTTGAAAGTACCCCTCACCAAAAATAGAAGAACTGCAGGGTTATCTAGTGTGCTGAATCCGAAAAAGCACTTTTCAGCAACTCAGAACGAACTTTATTTTTTTTGTCCGATGATATGCTTTTACAAAAGGGCAAATCCATCTGAAATGTCCCATCAATACGGCAACTTTCTCCGCTTCACTTAAGACCTATCTAACGGGTGTACCAAAAAGAACGACGTAATTTTTATTTTTAGCTTTTCTCCTCTCCCTTTGTACTTACAATGCTGATCTTTTTACTAAAAGATTCTCCATTCATTTCTCTACAAAGCGGTATATAGAAGATGATCCTAAGGTTTTGAGACACTACCTTAATTGAACAAACATCAAAATATCATAACAATTTAGAAAATGTAAATTGTTTTGCAAGACAATGTTGGAGTTTGAACTCTATTTTGAAAGTGATAGGAAGAAAATCGCAGGTAATTTCTTAGCACATTTTGATGTCCTCTGTCAGATGGTGTTAGACTAATTTCAACCCCCTCGGTCTGATGCGGTAAAACTGGCTAGTTAATAATACGCAGCCATCACTGAACGAAGTACACTAGTTTCAGTATCTCGATTATTCAGAAAAGTTACATCAAGCATGTTGTCAGCATTTAGCACATGAGTCAAGTAGACCAAACATTTGTCTTCAAAATTATGCAAGAATGAGCTTGATTCGTTCATTTTCGGCTGAGCATTGAACATATTTGAAAAGAACAATACCGGATAGAATATATGCATAAAAGTGTATGCGTGATCAATTACTATTGAGTCGAACGAACTTTAAATTTGACAGCAATAAGTTTGTTTGACGTGTTTCGCCTATTTAATGTCAATCAGCAGTGTTTTATATGCGAAAATATTGCTTTAATGTAAACGTGTAAACATGACATCAACCTAATAACTAATAGAATGATTTTTACTACAAGACTAGCATAAGGTCAGAATTTTAGAAATTGATTTTCCTTCAAAAATGTAGGATATACAAAAGTTGATGCCATTTTTGAAAATTAAAATTTGAAAAAAATGCACACTAAACTTTCTTTTTCAAAAATTCTGAATCGGCAGTTTTGTTCAGTTTCCCACGCTCTTTCGAATGAAGTACAAACGAAATTTTTTTTATTAAAGTTTAAATGGAAAAATATTCATTTTTTTGAAATTTGACACCTTTTATCAGTGAAATTAAAGTTTCAAGGTCACAACGGCAGACTTGGAAAATACTTTTTTGCCAAAATTTTCTACCGAACCATATATCTTTTGGTTTTTTAACAACATTGCCTAGGTCAGAAAATCAAGAAGAAGAAAAAAGAGCTAAACTTTTGTTGTTCACTTTACAATGAGCAGTAGAATTTTGAAGGTTCTTAATATACTGTGCGTATTCTTAATAGGTTCTCAGTTGTTTACAATAACAAACAAATAGATTTTCTTTTTCTATTTATTTTAATAGGTGTACCCGTCAGATGATATGTTTTTGTCAAAAAGTTTTTACAAATGAGTTCTTAGTTTTGAGGAACCAGCCCTAGGCGACCGGAGGTACGGAAATCAGATAAGAATCTTATAGAAATATTACGAAAATCTTATATGCTCCACTCGACAGAAATGCATAGTGTAATTATAAGATTCTTATAATTTGCAGTATAAGAGTATAAGAATTGAATAAGATTTTGATAAGATTTTAGTTTACAATTTTCTTATAAGATTCATATAATCTTATAGTGCCTAACAGAAAATGTCCAAAAATTTTAAAGTTCAAAACTTTGCCCTCGTGCTCCAGGCAACAACAAAAAATGCTTTTTTGTTTTGTTTTTGACTATAAGAATCGTATAAATTTTTATAGGACTCTTATAACCACAGTATGCATTTCTATCGACTGAATTATTAAGAACCTCATAAGATTCTTATAAGATTCTTGCAGATATTCTATAAGATTCCTATAGCAATCCTATATAAGATTTGATCTCTGGGAGATATGGTACTTAACGAATTACATAACGACTGGTCTTTCATTCGACTTCTTTGGTAAGAAAACACCCTTTTTTCTGTCTTTTTGAGCTCTCCCAAATCTGTTATCAAATGAATTTTAATCCTTTTTGTTCATTTTGAAGCCACTTTCTCATATACATCTCATTCTGCAGTAATTTATTATTTCTTGTGTTTTTTATTCATTTCTTCTGGATTTTTCTATAAATGTTATACTGTTGTTGTCTGTTCATGTAAATATTCTAATGGAACACAAAAATAAAGTTATCTTTTATTTAAAATAGAATTCATTCCAATTTTCGTTTGTTTTGTAAATAATAAAATCCCTTTTTTGTGAGTTCTACTTCTAGAAAAGTTGTGATCTTCGAAATCTAATGTTTTCTTGCATCTGCCTCTGTTCATCCTGGAATTTTTCGTTCTTTGAAAGGGGCACTGAGTTCTGGAGTTTGGGATCACGTTTGGCGCTGTAAAAGGCAACCCATGGTGGCATCTTGAAATCACTTTATTAGTTATTTCTCTTTTTCTCGTTCTTTAAGGATAAACTGCCATCCACCATTATTCTGATTACCGTGAAATCACCAGATTTTCTCTACACTCGGTACGTTGGAATATGTGTGTATTTGCTATTGGCGTATCGATGACTTCTTTGAGTTTTTGTTGCTTTTTCTTTGAGAAACATATGAAGGTGTACAAGATATAGCTTGCAATACATTTATTAACTGATTATCTCTACAGGCATTTTTATATCGGAAACCCATATACATCACATCTCAATTTAGTTTTTCGAAATTATAACTGATGTTTCATTTAAAATTCTTGAGCACACCCATCAAATTTACAATAAACTAAATCAAAATGAGATGATATATGTATGTGAACATGGCTTAAGGCGTGCTCCATTCATAAATATGAAATTTTTCATATAAAGTCATGTTTAGATGAACAAAAAGATTGGATAGCTTTTCTGATTAAAATTCTTTGTTCGATAGATCAATTCATTATCTGGGTCCTGCAAGAACGTGGGTAAAGCGAAGGAGCTATATTTATTGTTTATAGATCCGTGCTGTGATAAATTCAAAAAAAAGAAAGAGCTAATGTGTAGATTTGTGTTGATAGTAAGATTAAACATGAATACATCTACACTATAAAAAAAAGAGAATCAAAGACATCGTTAAGGATAAGTTGTTGTTCCGCCTTCCTTCAAAATCTCTTTCAAAATCTAAATCAAATGAGAAGTTTGTGTATGCTCTCAAATAAACTTATTGAGGGAGAAAATTTTCAAGCGTATATATCCTCTATTCTTTCCTTTTATGAATGGGCCTCAAACTTGCTACAATAGTGTTCGATCAAGGACCAGAGTGAATGACTGCTGTACAATCGAACGTTACTTGCGGAGTGAGAATTTGATAGTTATCTTTGAAAACTTGCTGTTTAAGCTCAATTTTAGAAAGTTAATAAATTATTATTTATCAGCTATTAGCATTTGCTTCGAGACATCCATCATTCAAACATTAAACTAGAAATCAAAATCTTTTTTTTTTGTTACCATTTATATGGCATGAAAACAAAATTCGTTGGATAAATAGCACCAATTATCAAATACATGCAGAATAATCTACTGGGATAAAAAGCGAACAATAAAAAATGATTGAGCAGAAGAATATTTGTTTGACTTGAAAAGTTCGACCCGGTACGGACTAGTGTGAATAGCAATTGTTTGTTGCACAGTTTTTGAAAACGTAATCAGTGTTTTATTTCTTTGTCCAATGCATATTCTAGCCCGCTTTGTATATCGGCAATTAAATCGTCGATATCTTCCAGTCCAACTGATATACGTATTAAATTATCTGTTATTCCCAATAATTTTCGATGTTCTTCTGGCACACTTGCATGCGTCATCACAGCTGGAAGCTCAATTAAAGACTCAAATCCACCAAGACTTTCAGCTAACGTAAATAATTTCAAGTGTTTTACAAAACGTTCGCTGTGTTCAGCCTTTCCACCCTTCAAATACAAACTAATCATACCACTGAAACCTGTCATTTGTTTTTTATATAAATCATGTTGTGGATGGGATTCTAAAGGCGGATAAATCACCTTTTCAACATATTCATTTTTCTCTAAGTACTGCGCAATACGTAAACCATTTTTCATATGTTGTCTCATTCGTACAGCTAATGTTTTCAAGCCACGATTCACTAGATAACAGTCGAACGGAGAAGGAACAGCACCAATAGCATATTGTAAGAATTGTAATTGTTTGTATAATGATTCGGAATTCATGCATAAACAACCCATCACAACATCCGAATGACCGTTCATATATTTTGTGAGTGAATGTAAAACTAAATCAGCACCCAAATCCAATGGAAGTTGAAAATATGAGGATGCAAATGTATTATCAACTAAAACAAGTATTTCTGGATCTTTCTTATGGACTAAATCAGTTATTTTGCGTATATCGGCCAATTTCAGTAAAGGATTTGTTGGTGCTACAAAATAGTGGACATGTAAAAGAAGTAAGATTTCAAGAATTACCTTAAGGAAGTGTAAAAAAGAAGAAAGGCTTACTAATTAGCAAAAAAATCCTTTGTTTTATATCTGTTTGCCAAGTTAAGTTAATATTGGCGAGAGGCCACTCACACATGTCCATTTTAGAATTGAGGGAAAATGAATCAGCAGGAACCTTGCTAATATAGTGCATGGATATCCATAATTACGCGAGTTCATCGAATGGATGATATTGCTAAAACGTTTTACCAAAAGCTTCAGCGATAAAGAACATATCTCAATAGAAAAACTGTTAGTGTGCGAGAACACGTCAAAATTGGATTGTCCATCTTAGACATTGCAACAATACAAACATACCTGCATGTGATGTTCCAAGTTTAATTGATGTTAATTTAACTTGGCGAATAAAAATAGCAAACAAATGAATTCTTTTGCTAATTAGAGAATTCAGAAAAGGACGAGGGCGATTATCTGATGAAATCGGTCCATGCCTGAATTTCATCGACTAATTAACGACTAGATGTGGAATGAAGAGGGGAATATTTCTAGATACTTATTAGACCTTAGAAACACTCCCACAAAAA